GACTTTTTGCGCTCGAGCGGACCAACTTATTGTGTTTGACGCTCGAGTATCACTTCTTGCGACCGAGCGAACTGTGCATATATCAGTTCACAACGGCTCCCTTCTACATCACTTTTTCGTATCTTTTTCTCTCAAAACCCTAGATCTAGAGCCTCTCTCTCTAAAACTCTCTCTCTCTCTCTCTCTCTCTCTCTCTCTCTCTAGATTTTCACCTAGATTTGGTGGTTTCTCTGCTCGTGTGCCTTTGTTAAAAAGGTAGAGCACTCCGAGGGCTCTCCCTTGATCCGGATAGAGTTGAGTTTTGGCATCTTTGAAGTCTTTTCATTCCTTCCTTTGGCCTTGCCGCCACAACTTTCCAGGGTTCATGACGTGTTTCATATTTGTATGCTTTGAAAGTATGAGTCAGATCCATCGCACGTGTTGGATTGGACCGACTTAGAGGTAGATATGGATGCCTCGTATGAGGAGAGAACGATAAAAGTCTTGGATACTCGAGACTAAGTCTTGCAACGTAAGACAATTCCCTTAGTTAAAGTATTGTGGCGACATCATGAAGTTGAGGAAGTAACAGGGGAACGTGAGTTGGAAGTCCGTGAGAAGTATCCGGACTTATTTGATAGTTTTTGAGCATGTATTGAGATTATGTTATGTTAATGAAGTATGAAAACATTGTATATGTTGTATATGTTTTGAAAACATGGGTTTAATGTAAACATTGTATATGTTTTGGAAAATGTAAATTGTACTTTCAATGTTAGAACTCGTGTATCGAGTTGATGAGAATGGATGACCAGAGAATGGGTCATGGTAATGGAATTGACTAATTATCATTATTGTAATTGGTTTAATTATAGTTTTAAAACTTGATTTGAAAATTCGGGGATGAAATTCCTTAAGGGGGGGAGTTTATAGCGTTTCTAGTTTAGACCCGACCCAATTGTATTCTGGACTCATGTTTCATGGTTTCATATTGTTGTTCATGTCTTACGTCTCTTATATTTCTTCGAGTTTGGCTGTTGGGTTGTATTGGTTGCGTTTGGAACAGGTTGGTAGCTTGGTTTTCAAGCTCTTGTTGCCCAGAATTTTACCCCACCGCTCGAGCGTCAATTCTTGCGCTCGAGCGGGCTTTGTGAACTCTCAGTACTTTTGTAGTTCTGCAAAACTACTAAGAAAGTGTAATCTATGCTTGAGCGGTGCATTTTGCGCTCGAGCAGTCTCAGCTCGAGCGACCTTTCTTGCGCTCGAGCATTGGTTTGTTGTTAACAAGTGAAATGCTTGCAAGGAGTGGAATGCTTGTGAAGAACATCCTTCCTACCAATTGGATTCTTGTTTGGTGAAGAGGTCATCTAGAAACTTCGATGTTGTGCTCATAACTTGAGGTAGGGTTACTTTTAACTTACTATTTCTTTGTTTCGAAGAAGTTTATATGGTATCATGTGACTTTAAGGTTTAATTAACGATTGGGATGGATCAAACTTTGTATTTAACAAAACGGTCATTTTACTTAGTTTTCATTACAATTTTATATAATTTTACATAAATGAGGAACATTAATGTTGAGAATTTATATCTATAAAAAGATAGGGAGAAAGCCCCAAATTTGACCAAAACCCTAATTTATAATTGAATGGAAAATAGTATTTAGATTGGAATTTTCTTAGAGTCTAGGAAGATTGTTCACAATAGAAGGTGAAAGATGTGGATATTGTTGTGATAACAAAATCGTGGCTTGGGGATGGATTCATTTTGAATGTTGTGATTGTGTTTTCTTTCGTACAGTGATGAATACTTGTGATTGGATGAAAATTTGGTAAATTGTGCATAAGTCCGGGTAAGAATCGGTCTTGATGTTGTTATATTGTGTTGGTACCCGCGTAGGGAGTGAAGGTGCCCAATTGCCCTGTCCTGAGATTATCGCCGGACGAATGTGGAAAAATATTGTTGGGTGTCCACTGGTACAGCCGTATTGTTCCCGGTAAAAGTGGAAAAATGGATGATTTTGGGCGCCCACTTCCTGCTGTATAATAGTCGGTAAATGTAGGGATGGTTTTGAACAAAAAATGATTTAAGTATGAAATTGTGTACTCTTACAAGGGACTTATGGTATATTTCTCTTTCTGATGTGAATAGTGGTTTGGTGTGAGATGGTAAGGTGACTTCAAAATTATTTTGAATTTAATAACCTAATTAGCTATGTTTTCTTATTAACCACTAATTTGGTTTTGCTTATAATGGTGTCATGAACTTATTCAAATGATTAGATACTTGGTTAAATGTATTCCTACTGGGTATATAGCTCAACCCTATTTAAATTTTTAGGACATGATGATGCACTGCCACCGTGATGATTTGAAGTAAGTGGTTGCTCAATTGGGGTTAACAGCTTGAAGATACTTTACTGTCAAGACAATGAGTTTTGGGTCAAGACTTTTAAACGTGTTTTTGTTGTTGCCTTGTATGGCCTTAAGGCTTTTTCCCTTTTGTAATGTCATCTAGTTCATTGAACTTGGAGATGAATTCAAAGTATCTTGGAAATGTAAACTTGAAATTGTAATATCTTAATGCTTAGTTCAATGAGAAAGATGACTTTTGGTATTTTGGTATGCTTTGTCGTGGTGTACTTGTGTATGATATAGTAGGGCGTTACAGAGAGAATAGAGAAAAATAGAGAGAGAAGTGTGGGTCCCCCTTCACACGGTCCGTTCAATGTCATTAAGGGTGGATTGGGGGTGCTCAATTAGAACTCCCAAAAAATTTTCAAAAAACAATTGTAAAACTAGCCTTTATAAACTTTCTATGAGCATCTCCAAGAGACTCTTTAAATGAGGCATGTTAGGTATTATAGCTACCATTATCATATTTTAGTCACTCCAATGGAATAGCTATTACAATAACTAATTTAACAAAATTCTTCATGGCTAGCTACATTTGAAGAGTCTTGGAAGTCTCTTTAAACAGTTTGCATGTATAGATAAGTAAAATAAATAGTAGCATTGGAGTATATAGATAAAAAAAAAGCTAACACCCCCAGAGGTTTGATCTAATTACATTTCATCCCCTGACGTTTTGAAAATTACATTATCACCACTGTGGTTAATAGTCTCATTTCACAAACCCCCTACTTATATAAAAGGCAACAACTCCTAATAGAAAAACAAAAAAAAAAATTATATTTAAAAATAAATAAATAAATAAAGCAAAGGAAAGGGAAAAAAAACAGAGGAAGTAAAGCAAAGCAAAGCAAGAAAAGAGAGAATGTATGAGTTCAATATTTTCATTTCGTCTAAATAATTATAATGACAGGGGGTTAATGTAATTTTCCAAACGTCAGGGGTGATTTGTATTAAACTCAAACCTCAAGGGGTGTAAGTGTAATTTACCCGAAAAAGAATTATGCAAAATGAAGAATTATCTTTTTTTTTTATATTTTAGTTAATAAAAAATAAAAAGTATGATTAAAGTTACTCTTACACTATTGAGGCATTGTCTGTCTCAAAACATCTAATTCAAATACTATTTGGAAAGAGCTTAAAAAATTGCTTTTGGCTTATTTGTCTTGAACTGAAAAAGAAAAATAAACTTTTTCATTAACTAAAATAGTAGTATTTTTTTTTTTTTTTTTGTGGCAATTATCATAATACATTGCAATTATCATAACACATCAAAGTTTTTGTAAATTCTGGAAAACAAAAAAATAAAATAAAATAAAAACTAAAAAATTAATTATGAAACGGAAAATGTTTGGTGGCCACAAATTATGTGGCTCAAATGGCCCGAAAATGTCAAAACGACGTCGTTTTGGCATTTTCGGAGTTGTTTTGTACCCAAAACGACGTCGTTTTGAAATTTTCGGGCCATTTGAGCCACAGAATTTGTGGCCACCAATCATTGCCGTTATGAAACTCAACATAAATGGTTGTAGAAGTTGAAAAACAAGGAACAATAACATTTACGACCAGAAGATCTTTTTCCCTAAGCACTAGTCAAAAAATGTGGTACAGGTTTGGAAAAGGGAGCAAGAAAATGAAGGGGAGAGAGAGAGAGAGAGAAAGAAGGATGGCCAAAAAAGAAGCAGGGGGTGGGGGTATAAACTAAGTAGGAAAGAAATTCAGCATTCGTTTAGGATGTGGATTGACTTTTTAGTTATTTTAATTTGGAGTAAAAAAGTCTCGTTTGGGATGGACTTTTTAGTTTTTTTTAACTTTTGTGAGATAAAAAATGAAATGATTATAGTTTGAATGTGACATTTTACCTTATTGACTTTTTAGTTTATTTTATCTTCTTGTGACTAAAATAATCAGAAAAATCCCTACTGGTGAAAGGTTAGATTCCTGTTAAAACAACTACACAGAGAGACAGAGTGCTCCTCTACTGGTAGGAACTGATGTTTCAGACTTCCACCTCTCTCTCTCTCTCTGTTTTTTTTTTTTTTTATTTTATTGTATTTTTTTTTTTTTTTTTTTTGATCAGCAAATGTTAGCTGTTAGTTGTTAGATTAACACTTATGAGAGAAAATATTTCCACCATTGGCAAAGCACTTAAGTGCTTGCACTCCCTTAATTCAACTTTCCCTAAGGGAAATTAAACCCATGACCTCCTTGGTCCCAAGGAAGGCATGCTGACCAACTATCACATTTGCAATGAAAAAAATACTTGAAACACTTAGGGCTTGTTTGGTTTATTTTTGGGAGAGTTGTTTTTGAAAAAAAATCTGGGGAGTGAGTTTTGAAATTTTTTTGGTTTGTTTGGTTGTATATTTTGAAAGTAGTTTTGGAGTTTGGGAGTTTGGGATGATTTAATATTTTGTTGTAATTAAGTAGATGTGTGTGAAAGAAAAAGTGATTGAAAATGAGAGAGGAGAGAGAAAAAGTGATTGATTGATGTGTAAGAGAGAGAAAGTGATTTTGAAATTTTTTTGAGAAAAACCACAAACCAAACAAAATTTTGAAAAAAAATTTCAAAAACAACTCTCCCAAAAACAAACCAAACAAGCCCTTAATTTGTCACCTCTAATGATATGTTTGATAAGTACTAAAATTATAAGAGGAGGAGAGCACTCCAAATATTATATATATCGATGCACGCCTGGGAAAACACCAGAGGCAAAGGAGGACTCACCCACTTGATTTGGAGTTAATCAGTTGAGGTGATATCAGACTCACAGATCCCACTGCTTTGTTTTCATGTGTTTTTATTTTATTATATCATTATTATATTTTAGTTTTCCAATTTCAATTTGATTTTGCGCAATTGGTTCTTGTATATTTTTCGCCGTCTCTCGCATCACTGGAACCCTTTTTTGATTTTAAAAGTGATATGTTTTTGGTAACTATATACTCAAATCAAGGGTCGGTCAGCTGCTATTTGAAAATTTTATATATATCAAACTGAATTAATGCCACAGCACCTTGTGTATTAAACTGAATGCTTGTCTACCTTGTACTACTACTACTGTTTTGCAGGCGGCGGCATCATGGCAAACAATGTGTTTGGCAACCCCATCACCAATGAAACTCTGGAGGCTATGCCAGAATATTATAAAAAAGAAATAACGCCTAGGGACAGAGCACATGTGGCTATGCTTATGAAAAATGCAGAAAATAAGGATCACAATGCTCGCAATCATGTTGAGAGTCGTAAAAAGGATTTCGGTGATGGAATCTCCGCACTCTGCGTGATTTACAATGCTACTGGGGACGCTTTAAAGTTTATTACTACCCACGATTATCACGGCCACATTTATGCCGACCCATACCCAACAATAATTCAAAATGGCCAGTGGGCTGCTTTTTTGCATGTCAAACCCTCTGTAATTACTGCTGGATCAAGTGCAGGTGTTGTGTATCGTGGCAAGAACCAATCTGGCGAACAACATGACTGGATGTTGGCTTGGTCTATCCCATATGTTGGTGACAACCATGTAAGTAAAACGTTTACTGATTTGTCTTCACATTCATGGCATTGCTTCCTCCCTCGTGGATTCTCACCTATTCTATTGGCTATTCATTTATTTATGGAGTATGGATTTCCTGGAGAGTGCTGTCACCACGGTTCGTTTCGATATTTTGAATCGTACTTTGTGTTGAGTCTTCTGTGTATATTATTTATAAAAGACAAAAAAAATAAGAAGAAATAGGTTGATCTAATAATTAATCATATTCAATTTATCTTATTTGTCACACGCGGGCGCGCACACAAATAAAAATAAAAAATGAATGGTCTTTTTCAAAAACACACTTGCTATTTATTTTTTTCATAGACATATACAATAAATTGAATAAGTTACAATTATATAATTGACCTAATTTTTTGAAGATATACACAAAGGATCCAACAAAATGAATGGTTTAAATCATCAAAATAGGACTCATAGTGGACTCCACGGGCTCAAACGGTTTGCTGCAGTCCAAATAATGCACTCTTATTTATAATAGTTTATCATCTCCCCCATTATTTTTTACTTCAATGGTACCAACTTTGAGCTTTTTTCACATGATTTAAACCGTTCAATTTTTTGTACCCGTCGAGCACGTTATATATTTATGCAACAAATTAAGTTTGGCCGATCATTGTTAGCCCATTGACCAATTATATCACATTTGTACTAAAAAAAGATGTTAAATCATCCAACTTAAAATCCATTGACAATGAATGGATAAATCCTTACACTATATTAAGTGAGATTAGGTGCTTAGATTAGTAATATGGGATAAAACCTTTTTTTTAAATAAAAAATAAATAAAATTGAACGGCGTGTATAAATTTAAAATAAACTAAAATACAAATATGGTCCAGTCATAAAACTATCAAGGTTCGATCAAGCACATTTACCGCAAAGACATTCTATTCATCTTGACTAAAAAAATTAAAAGTTTGGGAACATTTCTAAAGGATCGAGGATGGGCCCAATATAAATTATGGGAGAGAAAAAAATTAACAAAGAGGATCCTAATCCATTTTTAATAAAATGTTTGACAAAAATATATAAATTATCCGCAATTCTTCTTTAAAAGGTGTATTTTGTTTAATCTCAAAACCTTTTAGGTAGACCCAAAAGTCTTACACGCCTTTCTTTTTATTTTTATTATTATTATTTTTTATCCTTCTCTTTCTGATATCCGACGACCGACGACAACACATTTCTTCCTCTCTTTCACTTTTTAATATACACTCACTGACGATCGGCGAACACCATCGATGGGGGTTTCACCGGCAACAACTGACCACCAACTCCTTACTTCGATCTGCTCAGATCTAAGTTTCCGGTGAATGGGATAAATAGATGAGTTTCCAACAAATGACATAGACTAGATATGCGCAGATTCAGCCATATCTAAACTAAAAATAATTATCGGAGTACAATCCTCTCTCTATATCTGCTCGTCTCCTTCAATCTATCAGTTTTTTTACTTTTTCTACTGCACACTTCTCTTTTCCTGTTTTAATAAAGAAAATTTTCAAATTCTAAACAAGTTATTTTCAAATTTTAGTTATAGGCGATGAAAATTGTAAAATTTTTCAACTTCAGTTTTTTTGGTGTTGAAATGAATCATACTTTAAAATTAAATTTTTTTGCAGTTTCATAACGTATTTTCCAATTTGATTAATAAGGATAAATACTTAATAGAATCATGCTTTGAAATTTCAATTTGATCAATATTGGATATTATTTATTTAAACCTTACAAAAATTAGAAAATAATATATGTTTTTCCCATTGTTGTTGTTTGCTATTATTAGGTTTTTTATTTTTATTTTTATTATCAATATTTAGCACATTTGGCTACGGTTTTTCGCTCTAATTTCTCTATTTATTCGTTTTTTTTTCTCTCCTACATTATGGACATTCCGGTGAGACTCTGACGGTACTCTTGACGTCCAGCGAATATTCTAGACATTCCAGCGATTTCCAGTGACATTCAACACACTCCGACAATACTGTAGCAAATTTTCGGTGATACTCCGGCGACTTCCCCGATAATGTTAAACATTCCTGCGAGCCTCCGATGATCGTTTGACAGAAGTCTAGCGATGATGGGATGTAGCAGTGTCTTCAAATTTATTTTTTTTTAAAAAGAATTTTTTGATAACAATAACAAATATATAAGATTAATTGGTGCAAGTGTTTTTTTTTTTTTTTTTTTTTGGGACTAGTTGAGCTTTGATTTTGAATATGGGACTTACCAATAAGTGCTCCCCAAAAAACCATATGTTAAAATCGTGTCTTCAAAATATACGAAATCTCATTTTCAAAGTGCAATTTGATCGTTGTGTTGAAATTACGTTTCGAAAATGTTATTTTATGACATTTTTGAAATTGTGTTTTTAAACAAAATCAAATTGTGATAACAAGATTTCAAAAAGTACATTAATTTGTTAAATAGTTTAAAAAATGTGTTATTTTTGTAAATAAATTATCATTTTTGAATATTCAAGGAGAAGAGGAGATCAACCTCTCAGCGAACCCTTCTTTTTAGACACACCTAACCAATGATCCCCAATCATCCTAAAGGGTCAGGGGTAGTCCCAGAGAACGTCCTGCCGCATAAGGGTCAGGGGTAGTTCAAGAGAACGCCCTGCCGCAAATATTGCCGAGTCTGAGGGACCCCTTGGATCGTGCCACCTCGACCTGGGTATAGGCTAGTTTAACCGAAAAGTGAATTTATCTCCACTCACCGTCCTCGGGATCGGGTCCTTTGTTCGAACTCCATACAAATGCTTATAGTCCCCTAGCACGTACGGACTTTCAAAGGTTGTGCTACAAATGCTTATAGTCCCCTAGCACGTACGGACTTTCAAAGGTTGTGCTACAAATGCTTATAGTCCCCTAGCACGTACGGACTTTCAAAGGTTGTGCTACAAATGCTTATAGTCCCCTAGCACGTACGGACTTTCAAAGGTTGTGCTACAAATGCTTATAGTCCCCTAGCACGTACGGACTTTCAAAGGTTGTGCTACAAATGCTTATAGTCCCCTAGCACGTACGGACTTTCAAAGGTTGTGCTACAAATGCTTATAGTCCCCTAGCACGTACGGACTTTCAAAGGTTGTGCTACAAATGCTTATAGTCCCCTAGCACGTACGGACTTTCAAAGGTTGTGCTACAAATGCTTATAGTCCCCTAGCACGTACGGACTTTCAAAGGTTGTGCTACAAATGCTTATAGTCCCCTAGCACGTACGGACTTTCAAAGGTTGTGCTACAAATGCTTATAGTCCCCTAGCACGTACGGACTTTCAAAGGTTGTGCTACAAATGCTTATAGTCCCCTAGCACGTACGGACTTTCAAAGGTTGTGCTACAAATGCTTATAGTCCCCTAGCACGTACGGACTTTCAAAGGTTGTGCTACAAATGCTTATAGTCCCCTAGCACGTACGGACTTTCAAAGGTTGTGCTACAAATGCTTATAGTCCCCTAGCACGTACGGACTTTCAAAGGTTGTGCTACAAATGCTTATAGTCCCCTAGCACGTACGGACTTTCAAAGGTTGTGCTACAAATGCTTATAGTCCCCTAGCACGTACGGACTTTCAAAGGTTGTGCTACAAATGCTTATAGTCCCCTAGCACGTACGGACTTTCAAAGGTTGTGCTACAAATGCTTATAGTCCCCTAGCACGTACGGACTTTCAAAGGTTGTGCTACAAATGCTTATAGTCCCCTAGCACGTACGGACTTTCAAAGGTTGTGCTACAAATGCTTATAGTCCCCTAGCACGTACGGACTTTCAAAGGTTGTGCTACAAATGCTTATAGTCCCCTAGCACGTACGGACTTTCAAAGGTTGTGCTACAAATGCTTATAGTCCCCTAGCACGTACGGACTTTCAAAGGTTGTGCTACAAATGCTTATAGTCCCCTAGCACGTACGGACTTTCAAAGGTTGTGCTACAAATGCTTATAGTCCCCTAGCACGTACGGACTTTCAAAGGTTGTGCTACAAATGCTTATAGTCCCCTAGCACGTACGGACTTTCAAAGGTTGTGCTACAAATGCTTATAGTCCCCTAGCACGTACGGACTTTCAAAGGTTGTGCTACAAATGCTTATAGTCCCCTAGCACGTACGGACTTTCAAAGGTTGTGCTACAAATGCTTATAGTCCCCTAGCACGTACGGACTTTCAAAGGTTGTGCTACAAATGCTTATAGTCCCCTAGCACGTACGGACTTTCAAAGGTTGTGCTACAAATGCTTATAGTCCCCTAGCACGTACGGACTTTCAAAGGTTGTGCTACAAATGCTTATAGTCCCCTAGCACGTACGGACTTTCAAAGGTTGTGCTACAAATGCTTATAGTCCCCTAGCACGTACGGACTTTCAAAGGTTGTGCTACAAATGCTTATAGTCCCCTAGCACGTACGGACTTTCAAAGGTTGTGCTACAAATGCTTATAGTCCCCTAGCACGTACGGACTTTCAAAGGTTGTGCTACAAATGCTTATAGTCCCCTAGCACGTACGGACTTTCAAAGGTTGTGCTACAAATGCTTATAGTCCCCTAGCACGTACGGACTTTCAAAGGTTGTGCTACAAATGCTTATAGTCCCCTAGCACGTACGGACTTTCAAAGGTTGTGCTACAAATGCTTATAGTCCCCTAGCACGTACGGACTTTCAAAGGTTGTGCTACAAATGCTTATAGTCCCCTAGCACGTACGGACTTTCAAAGGTTGTGCTACAAATGCTTATAGTCCCCTAGCACGTACGGACTTTCAAAGGTTGTGCTACAAATGCTTATAGTCCCCTAGCACGTACGGACTTTCAAAGGTTGTGCTACAAATGCTTATAGTCCCCTAGCACGTACGGACTTTCAAAGGTTGTGCTACAAATGCTTATAGTCCCCTAGCACGTACGGACTTTCAAAGGTTGTGCTACAAATGCTTATAGTCCCCTAGCACGTACGGACTTTCAAAGGTTGTGCTACAAATGCTTATAGTCCCCTAGCACGTACGGACTTTCAAAGGTTGTGCTACAAATGCTTATAGTCCCCTAGCACGTACGGACTTTCAAAGGTTGTGCTACAAATGCTTATAGTCCCCTAGCACGTACGGACTTTCAAAGGTTGTGCTACAAATGCTTATAGTCCCCTAGCACGTACGGACTTTCAAAGGTTGTGCTACAAATGCTTATAGTCCCCTAGCACGTACGGACTTTCAAA